ATAAAAGAAAGTATTAATCTTTAATTTAGTAAAATTATATTTTATTACAAGCGTTCCTTTTGAGCTTAAGTTTTTGGATTGATAGGGTTTCAGTTTTTTATTCATTTGAGGACAAAATGATAAATACAAAAACAAAATTTTAAAATAAAAAAAAAATTGTCAAAAAATTTGGGGGAGGGTCCGGGTCCCCCTAGGACACCCCCCCTCCCTCCCCTCCGCTCCAGAGGGCAAGCATATATCGACACCCTTGGCACAACACTTCAAATTGTCTTCTGTAGAATACAAGGATGAAGAACTAGTGTTCTACAAGCCCGCCTAGGTGGAGGCTTGGGGATTGGAAAGAACGTCCTGCCTAACGTTTAGGCAGAAAAATTGACAGTCAACTCTGTGTCAATCTCATCTGTTCACATAGTTGATGTTTGCCTGAATATCAATCGAATATTTAAAGGTGTACTTTTATACTTGGTAAAATCCATCCTAAGTCACAAACGTTTGATTAGCGCAAATCCTAGGTACTTGGCTTGGGATAATCAGGCAGTTAAGTTGCAAGTTCATGGGTTGGTTCGCTTCGCTAAGGAATGAAAATGACAATTGCTTTGACAGTTTAGAAGTTGAAATATGTTGAAATAAGTCCACTCACCCTTTCTTTTTCCTACCAACCCCTTTCTTCTATATTTAAAGAGAACAGGTACTGATACATAACCTATTCATTATAAATATTTAGATGAGAGCGTCTAGCAGATAAAATTTCATTGCGAAAAATAAAATTTTTTAACTTATCTTTTGAAAATTCCAATTTCGGGGATTTCAATGTTGCCTTGTTGCTATCAACTTCTTAAAACTACCTTGCTCTTCTTACTCTTCAACTTTTATTACAAAATGCATAGAATGACTCGTCTGGTAATAGACATTCTTAGTATTTGATGCAGAAATGTATGAATGTTCCTAGTTTATGAAAATTTAGTATAGTCTTGCATAAAAGATGCTGCTGCAAATTTCTAGATTATTTT